GCTTTATGTACTTCTTTCAAAACAGATTTGTTTGTTTTTCTGGCAGTTCATGGTACTTTTAATATTCTACTCTAACACCATAACTCAAATGCATCACTTCTTCTACAACCTTCTTTATTCATTGTCCAGCATGCATAGAAGGCTATTGAAAATACCATGACTTGGGTCAGGAGCAAACCTACATCTTTGCTCTTGAATATTTTAAAGGGGTCTTATGAAGTAGATTTTCCTAATGCAATATGTCGTTTGATTTTTTGACTGCTGTTTCCATGAGTGTTAATGGTAGATACAAGCAAAATGGTAGATCCAAGTTTTGGACTACTTCAGTCGTTGCTCCATTTATCATGTTACTTATTGGTCAAGTGGTGAGGATTTTTGTTTTCTTTACATTGAGGAGCAATCCATATCGAAGGCTGTGGTTTTGGATCCTCATCAGTAAATATTTTAAGTCCACTAGACTGGTGGTGCTGTAGGATCGATGCTGGACTATGAATGGCAGGTTGGCAGTTCAAACCCTTCAGCTGCTTCTTGGAAACCCTATACAGGGTTGCTATGAGTCAGAACTGACTCAACAGCACTTAACAACAACAACAGGCTTTCAGCAAGCACGGTAGTATCTGCATATTGCTGATTGTTTAGTGAGTCTTCTTCCAATCCTGATGCCACATTTTTTCTTCATATAATCCAGTTTCTCAGATTATTTGCTCAGCATACAGATTGAATATATATGGTGAAAGAGTATAACTCTGGCACACACCTTTCCCGGTATTAAACAATTCAGTATTCTTTTGTTCTGTTTGAACAACTGTCTCTTGATCTATGTACAAGTTCCTCATGAGCACAATTAAGTGTTCTGGAATGCCCATACTTCACAATATTATCCAGAACTTTTCATGATTCACCTAGTCAAAAGCTTTTGTGTAGGTAAACAGAGGTTAACATCTTTGTGATATTCTCTGCTTTTAGTCAAGAGCTATCAGATGTCAGCAGTGATACCCTTCTTTCCACTTCTTTGTCTGAATTTGGGTTAAACTTCTATTTATGGCCAGTCAGTGTTGAAGCCGTTTTTGAATTGTCTTTAGCAAAGTTTTGCTTAGATGTGATAGTAATGATATTGTCCGGTGACTTCCACGTTCTGTTGGATTACATCTCTTTGGACTGGGCACAAGTATGGATGTCTTCCAATCAATTGGCTAAATGTCTTGGCATAGATGAGTGAGTGCCTCCAGTGCTGCATCAGTATGTTGAAAGATTTCAATTTGCTGTCCATCAATTCCAGGAGTTTTGTTCTTTGCCAATGCCTTCCATGAGCCTTAGACTTCTTCCTTCAGTGCCGCTCGCTTTTGATCATTTGCTATTTCTTGAAATGATTGAACATTGACCATTTCTTTTTGGTGTAGTGACTGGTATTCATTTAATCTTCTTTTAATGCTTTTTCCATCATTCAATATTTTGTCCGTAGAATCCTTCAGTACTGCAAGTCTAAGCTTAAAGTTTTTCTTCAGTTCTTTCAGCTTGGGAGATGCTGATCATGTTCTCCCTCCCACTCTTTTTTTTTTTTTTCCTTCTAACTCTGGGTATTGCACATTACATTGTAATATTTGACTGTGTCAAGCACAAGAGATATTCTAAACTGCTAGACCAATTCCTCTATGAAAAAAATATGATTTTTATTGCATATATTTTTCATTCTCTACTCTTCCTTCCTCCTCTGTCCTTCCTCTATTTCTTTTCTTTCTTTCCTTTTCCTTGGAGTTGTTGTTAAGTGTCATTGAGTCAGTTCTGACCCATAGTGACCCTGTAGAGGGTTTCCAAGGAGTAACTGATGAGCTTGAACCACCAACCTTGCAGTTCAAACTGACTTTGCAGTCAAGCGCATTAACCCACAGCACTACACCAGGACTCCTTGGAGTAGATGAAGAGAAAACACTTGATAAATTTCACAGCAAACTTGGTATAGAAGGGAAATTTCTCTGCTTGGTAAATTTCTTTCACTTTCTCAAGAAATACAATACTTAGTGATAAAATCTTATAATTGTGGAGAAATACATATATATAGCAAACATTTGCCATTTCAACATTTTTTATGTGAACAATTCAGTGACATTAATTAGATTCACCTTGTCCTGTAACCCGTCACCACTAAGTGATAAGATCTTAATCAGCACTTCAGAGTAAGATGTTAGAATTGTTTACCCCAGTGTCCTGGCTTATAACTATTATAGAGGTAGCCCTAGTACAGTAAAACAAGAACGACAAAAAGATTAACAAAGCATAGTAAAGATGAAACAAAAATGGTGTTCACAAAGTATTGCTTGCAGAATGCTCAATTCCTTTTTCTTTTTAAAACCTCTTTAGTGAGCTGTCTTTCTGCCCTTTTAATCACATGGTGGCGGCAATGGCGACAGCTTTGGGGAGGCAGCTGGCTATACTCAGAACAGAACACCTTGTTCCTGGGTTGAGCATTGACCTTGCCCAGCTTTGTTAGGCCACTGAGTTGTTGGAGTAGGAAGTTTCTCTGCAGCTTGTATTCTGTCATCTTTCTACAAAGCTGATAAGCATACCTGGAATTGCTTTTGCCAGTTCTCAGCATGGAAATTTCCTCAAGGAAAATACTTGAATTCATCCTTCACTCATGTGGGTCATGCCTATAGCCTCCGCCATAGATCCAGTAACCTGTGGGTGTTCTGTTTTGAAATTACCTGCCTTTATTTCTGCATCACTGAATCACACAGTAATGGTTTGTAGTTCCATGGTGCGTTACTTGGGAATGCCAGAGAGCAGTTGGATGTTTCCTTCCAATGGCAATGCCTCAGAAAAACGGTTTAGTTACAATCTCCTATAGCAGCACTCTGCTCCACCTGCAGAAGAGCCAGCATTTGCACTGTGAATAATCTTGTAGCTGTGCGGAAATTGCCAGTCTGACTGGGTCATGTGCAATGGGCAGCAAAGTCAGCAGAACCTTAGAAAAGATGACACAGCAAGTGGAACGTGCCAAATCTTTCCCCATCCACCCAAGTATGAAGTGCTCCATGCTCCTTTTTAAAGTAAGACATCCCTATTGGTGTTAACCCTGCAGCCTCCCCATTCTGATAACAGCTGTCTGTGATCCAGCAGTTTTAGTTATGAAAAACAAGCAGCGATCCAAGAAGTCTCCATACTCTGAGGTGCATGCAGGGTTATCTAGGACTCAGTCCTGCTCCCCCAGGAAATCCTATCTCCTCACTTGCTGCAGTGCATTTTATGCCACAAAGGTGGTGATGTCACAACTCTGGCATTTCAACCCAAAGCAGGAGTCATGTAGAGAAATTCAGGAGACACACAAAAGTCTCTGTGTGAGTGTGGATTCAATATGCCAGCCGTTCAGCTGTGACGTAAAAAATTTTAAACTCCTCCTTTGGGCACAGATGCTTAGGAGCCAGGCACTGGGCTGGGAGCATCCTGAAGGGCACCATTACCTGCAAGCAGAAGGACTGCCTGACCTTCCTCTTCACTCAGATAATTGTAGTGCAGTGTCCCTCACGTTGGGAGAGTTATCCTTTACATTTTGGAAATGAGCCTTTGCCGTGTTGGGAGACTTCTCAGCTGTTTGCTCATCTCGGCATGCCAAGGAGCCGAAGAGGTACCCAACAGCCTGGACTCCATTGCTTTACTGGAAAAGTATGTCTCCTTGAGGAATCTTGAAGTCATCCCAGCCACATTGTAGAATTGTATTGAAAGACCCTTCCCCTAGTGATTTTATTTTTCTGTAACAAAGCCAGCAAGGCTGGAGACAGTCTATTTCAAGGAAAGCTTCTGATTTCTAGGAGTCATGAAATGACATGAGAAGGTCTCAGCAGGATTCCAAATTCAGGAAAAAAATTTTCCAAGCACCTACTATGTTCAGTCCATTCTGCAGGGATTTCTTGGCGAACCCGAAGTGCTGGGTTAACCCTCCGAAAACATTGAAAGCGATGGCTGAAAAAGAAAGATGAACTCCTTGATGCTCTCTCTGGAAATGATTGAGGTTTGCTGCAACAATTGGCAAGTTTGGCTTTTCCCCGTAAAATTTGGCATCTTCATGTGCTGTCCAGGGTCCACTTCAGGTCAGATGGAGCTTAGGAGGACAAGGGTAACTGTTCTTTTTGTCTTTGTAAATGTTTTGTCTGTTGTCTCTCTATTCCCCCCAGCCTGATGTTTTTATTTATGTAACTTGCATTTGCAAAATCAATGGAGTTAATGGGTATCATTTCACACATCAGCCTGGTTCAGCGTAACTTTGAGGTTTGCGAAGTTATACGTGGAGGAGATGTTTCAAACTTGTTGGCTATGTGTAGTATAAAAAAGGATCGGGTTTTCTCTATGTAAGTTTTCTTATGCTCTTTGATGGTTATTTACAAATATAATATGTGCATTTCAGATACACTGTAGTTACAAAGATGCTATCTTGACAGCCCAGTAACAGAACTTTTTAATTTAATTTTCAGTTTCGTGAATTATAAAAGACTAATATTCCCTGCGCTTTATCAAGGAGATTGCATAAAGGGAATTTAGAGAAGTGGTTTCAGGCAAGGTGGGGAAAGGGTTTGTTTATTTGTTTGTTTGTTTGTTTGTTTGTTTTTCTTGGGAAAAAAGAAAGATCAACAAACCCAGAAGAATCAAAAGATGACGGCCTGACAAGGTCATTAATGGGAAACCAGAAATGATTTTTCTCCACAGGAGGGAGTAGGGAGGATATTTGCTAAATGGAATCTTCTGAATTAAGAACTAATCAGTATTGTGAGTAGGGGACAAGGAGACCATTTGCTGTCAGCTTAGAGCTGCTACTGTTGCCAGCTCCCTGCCTTTCCCCTTCTGTGACCCCTAAGCTCTGTCATCCAGAATCCCATGAAGCAGCCATTGTTTACATCCTTCAGATCCCTCTGCAGCCAGCAGCAACTGGAGTGGGAAATGTCTCTATGGCATTATTGTCTTTGTAATTGACCTTGACAGTTCCTTTTTTTGTTTGTTTTAACCCACAGGAGCCTAGTAATAAACGGGTCAAACCCCTTTCCAGGGTCACATCACTCGCAAACCTCATCCCACCCGTGAAGGCCACACCATTAAAGCGCTTCAGCCAAACCCTGCAGGTAAGGAGGACCCAATGGGTCCATGTTTGCAGAAAACCATATTGTGTACCCCTGCCCTACTCAGAATTTTCCCTAGTTTCATATTGACCGTGATCAATATTTCAGTAGACGTAACCTAGTGAGGAGGCTATAAGGAAGAAAGATTAGAAATCGGGGGCCAGAACACTTTATTGGGGGCTGGGGGAATACATCAAGGAGCCGTTTCTGTTGGTTGAATTTCAGAGTTGGGTACCCTATTCAGACATCCTTTCTTCATAGGCTTCATCCTTAAAAAAAAATTTGTCTCCTGAGGAAACCCAAGCACAAGAGTTGAACTGGAGGTCAGCAGAGCCTAGTCACTTAGACCAGGGGTCAGCAAATTGTGCCGTTTGGGAACAAAGCCAGCCAAGTGATAGCTTTGTGATTTGAACATGCTCAGCCGCTCTCTGGGGGATGAAAGACCTGTCGATTTGTTCCCATAAAGATTACAGCCTAGGGGGAACCCTTTGAAGCAGTTCTACTGTCACATGGATTTGTTATGAGTCAGAATAGACTCAACACAACATCACCATACAGAAATGTTTTGGTCTTTACTTAGCAATCACAAATTTACCTAGTTAGTAAACATTAGGTACTCCAATAAATTTTTGGCTAATAAGTGGTTGTAGTTGTTCTTATTCTTAAACTCCTGATAGAGTTTACCTTTTAAAGTGAACATCAAGATTTGTCCAATTTGGCAACTGTAAAAATTTTCTTTTATACTGAAATTCATTGAAGTCACACATAAAAAGATTCCCTTTATTTAGTTGAGAAATTGTCTGGAGTTGCCCATTTTTGGTTTGTTCTGGACAATTTCATATGAAATTATTCACTACAGATTAGTTAATAAGTACAAGTAAACCTGGGCACCTTTCTTACTGGGTTCTCATCTGTGTCAGGGATTGTAAATTTCAAGTGCAGGATTGGCTTTGACAAAATCTTTTAGCTTCTGTTTATCCTGGAATGTTTTGATTGCACCATCATTTTTGATTGACAGTTTTGCTGGGTAGACGATTCTTGGTTGGCAGTTTTTTTTCTTTTAGGGTTTTTATATGTCTCCCCATTGCCTTCTTGCCTGCATGGTTTCTGCTGAGAAGTCAGAGCTTAATCTGATTTGCTTGCCTTTGTAAGTAACACTTCTCTTTTCCCTGGCCACTTTTAGGATTCTCTCCTTGTCTTTGATTTTGGAGAGCTTTATTATATGTCTTGGTGATTTTCTTTTGGGGGTCTCTCTTTCCTGGGGTACATTCAGCTTCTTGAATGTTTATCTTCTTATCTTTCAAGATGTTAGGGAAATTTTCTTCTGGAAGCTCTTCAACTATCTCCTCTGTGGACTTCTCTGATTCTTCCTGTTCTGGAATGCCAATAATTCTTAAGTTATTCCTCTTCATGTTATCCAGCATGAATCTTAGACACTCTCTTCAGTTTTTTATCCTTTTTCCTGCTTGCTCTTCTATCTTAGCAATATTGAGAGATTTGTCGTCCAGCTCGCTGGTTCCATCTCTTCAATTCTTCTTCTTTCCCTTTTCAGTGTATTGTCCATTTCTGATACTATTAATCATCTGGACCTCTTTTTGCAGTTATGAATTGTTTCCAATGCTGTATCAATCTTGTTTGATTGCTCTTGTAGTACTTTCCTGACTTCTTCATTGTTTTCCTCCACTCCTTTTTGAAGCATTTGAATTTGTTTCCATATCATTCTTCTGGATTCTTAGGCAAATCCAAAACCTGCTCTTCCTCTTCTTGGGAGCCTTTGACTGTCTCCAGCTTATTTGTCCCAGTTACTCTTTTCTGTTTGGGGACATGTTTTGAGATCTTTTGTTGTGTTTTATTGGTCATTTCCAGTAGTTATGTGAGTTTTTAATGCTTAAATGTATGTTTGTTGCTGTGTTATTAAGCTTACTAGGTGTCTCCTAGTGGATATGATTAGGAGATAGGCTTCCCTTTTTGCATGTAATGCTTAGCAGCTGTTATTGGCTCTGGTCTCAATGGTGGAATATTGTGGAGTATGCTTGTAGCTTGGCTATATGCCACGATTGTTGTCTCTTCTTGGGTAACGTAGGGAGGAAAGCTCCAACCTCCAGGAAATATGTGTGATCAAAAGGACCAAAAACAGAAGCAATATAAAAGTAGAGACAAAAACCACCACTTTGAAACAAAAATAAAAGTGTGGCCAACTGTCCAGTCGCCTTGCTACACAGGCAGTGTGTGTGCACTGTAGAGGCCTCCAGCAGTGGGTGGGGGTGTCCACTCTCTCAGACCCCTCCTCTAGTCACCACTGTAGAGGTGCGTAGATATTGAGAAGTTAATTGGAGAAAGATTTTCTACTATTTTTGTCTCTGAAGGTCAGTTAGGTATCTGCGTGTGCACAGTGTAATTCTCGAGGTAGTTGCATCCTTTTATGTTGGGGTTTTACAGGTTGTTCATATGATTTGTCTGTCAGGCCTGATAAGCCTGCTTTTTTCTTGCTGTATATGCTGGAGTAAAGGGTCTCACATCAGTTAATTTTAGGGCTGTGATCCAGAGGCTAAGGTCATAAGCAGCCACCAAAGAATTTGCCCATAAGTCCGATATGGCTTTTTCTCTCTGTCCCATGGGAAAACTGTGGGTCCAATGCTGGACTTTTTTGGGGGGTGTGCACCCACTTGCCTGAAGGTGTCCAGGCTGGGCAAAGAAAGTGCTACAAGGAAGAGGTGTAAAAAATGTGTAGAATCCCCTTGCACCTCCTTTTGCAAATGTCACTGCACCGCTTTTAGTGCTGGTCTGGCTGTAGCCCCGCCCTCTGCACTTCACCCAGGCAGGGTGGCCGCAGAGGGAGTCCAGTGTCTAGAGCGTTTCCTAAATCACAGTGTTTTCTTTTACACCATGATTTTTTCACTGGTGTTTGCAGGAAACTGACACCCTGCATCTTATGCTAGATCCAGAGCTGTGGTGCTGTTCCATGAAAGCAGCTTCTCTGGGTTTTTAGTCCCTCCCCCACAGAGCCTGTCCTACCTCATCTGCCTCAGCTTCCGCCAGTCTAAGGGATTGTAAATTTGAAAAGAGGTTTTGATTCTTTAGAAATGTGCTATGCAGCTGCGAACACGTGAGATGAATGTCACCCATACCTAAGAATAGAATCTTTGGTATGGTAAAAAATGTGAAATTGTTCACTGCAGGTTAATAAGTAAGCACACATAAGTCTGTGCTTACCTTGCTTATTGGATAATTCTAAGTATTTTCGCTCATCAATACTTCTATGTTTGATTTCTGAGTGTCTTAGTTATTTAGCGCTACTATATAACAGAAATACCACAAGTGTCTAACAAGCAGAAATTTAATTTCTCACAGTTTAGAAGAGTAGAGGTCTGAATTAAGGGTGTTATCACTACAGGAAGGCTTTGTCTCTCTGTTGGCTCTCAAGGAAGGTCCTTGGTCTCTTTGAACTTCTTCTGGGTGATTTCTATGTGACTTGACATCTCTCTTCCCCCATCTCTGCTTGTCTTGCTTGTTTAATTTCTTTTCTATCTCAAAAGAGAATGACTTAAGACGCACCCTGCACAAATCCTGCCTCATATACAAAACCAAGACAGCCTATTCCCAAATAGGATTATAGCCACGGGCATAGAGGTTAGGATTTACAGCACATATTTTGGAGGACACAATTCAATCCAAAACACTTGAGTCTTTAAGAAAATGTAGAGTGGTACCCTACTCATGCCCCTCATCTTATGGAGATCCACAACTTAAGATTGTTTGAATGTCTCTGTCACCCATTTCTGTCCTTCTCCACCATCCAGCCAAACATACATAACTCCATATAGCTCAAGTCGTTCTCACACTTTCCTGTAATCAGGTAGGGAACCTTTATTCTGCCAATATTTATAACATCATTTACGGGCCATGCAAAATGATCAAATTAAAAATTATACTCTATATTTGGTCACACATTTAATCAACTCACCCCTAATGTGATGACTGGAACTGTGATTGCATTGGCAGGGCCAAACCAAATGATTTCTAAGACCTTTTACGTGGACCATGGGCCACATACTTCCCACCCATGCTGTAGCTGTTAACTGTTAACACTGCTGTTTCTCCAGAATGAATACCTCATCACTAATTAGTGATAGGCTTGACTCTGTTGCTCTCAGTACTTGGGCCTCTGGATTCCTGGCCATCTTCCTTGATCCCCTTTGTGGGAAAATGGAGGAGAAAATAAATAAGGTCATCTGGGGGAGCCAGATGAAGGTCTTTGAAGCTAGTGAAGAAAAATATGTTTACCTTCTCTCCCTCATGACCAATCCCTCAGCCCTCTGGACAACAAGTTCATCACAGGCTTTCCCTGGAAGATCTATCACTGCCTCGGTCCTGAACATCTGGTCTTTCACTGAGATCTGCTTTTTGAAAATTCTCTAGCCTTTCTATTGCCCTTCACCCTTTCCTCCCCATCCCAGTGGGTATGGCTCAAGTTCAAGTTATTTCCTCTTTAGATTACAGAACCTCTATGTCATTAGTCTTTTCCCATTGCTTCTCAACCCCAACGTTGTATGTCCCAGGACAGTCCACCCTTGCCCCGGGAAGGTCCTCCCTGACCCCACAAGCTCTTGAGTGAGTCTTCTTCTTCCTCCCTGTGGGTGGTCCAGGTAGAGTCAGCTCTTGGTAGATTCCAGTGTTTTTAAAAAACGAAGCTAACACTTATAAATGAAAGCAATTCTCATAGGAATCAGGATTTTTGGCTTCTGTAAAGGAATCATCCTGGCAGTGCTGGGCCTGTGTTCCTGGTCACTTCACTCGCTGATATCACCTGTCTATACCGATCAGACTGGGGAGAGAGCATGCTCAAGTCTCTGGCACCCACCACAGTTCAATTCTGACTACTTACTGCTTTAGAGATGAAACCCAAGATTCTCCATGGTCATACCTTGAAAATCTTTCCTTTGGCTTCTTAACTAATGAGTTACCACTAAGTTGATTCCAACTCATGGTGATCCCATGTGTGT